ATCTGTGTTAAATGTTTGTCGTTTTTCTGTTTCATTGTTTTTAATATCCTATTCATCATGTGCTTTTATTAGACACCAACTCAAATCTATTTTAGAAAGAGCAAAGTTGAGCTAGGAGAGAGAGAGACTGAGAGCCAGTGTAAAACTCATGTTAAGTACTTTTCAAACAATGTATGATTTTTAAACTCTTATTCTCAGCCCCAGAGTCAGTCTTCCAAAGTATGCTTTGTGATGCTGGAGGTGAGCTGAGACGCTGAAAACCACATTCTCCTCCAGCAATGAGCTATTAGTCAGGTTCTGCTACTTAGCGTGGGCCAGAAGGGAGGCTTCAAGGTGCAAAGCGGGTGGAAGGATTTGTTTCTTCCTTTCTGCTTCCAGTTCACTTCAGTTGCGATCCAGACCATGCTTCTCATGGTAGTTGCAATGTATTCAATTAGCAGCAGTATAATCCGGTTTGCAGTTTCTTCAGAATCTGCACCCCCTCAAAGATATCGACACCAGTTGGCCGGCAACCCCTTCTCAGAGGTGTGAGTCCCAGCTCTGCGCAGCCCCCCCTTCAAGCTTCTATGTTTTCATATTTACAACCTTTTCATTCCGTTGCCTCAGCCCTGGGGCTGGTAGCTGCATTTTGCAGTTACTTCTTGATATCTTAGTGCAAGCTTGTCTAACCCCTGGCTGTGTGCACATCCGGCCCAGGACAGCTTTGGATATGGCCCAACACAAATTTGTGAACTTTCTTATAACATTATGAGATTTTTTTGCAATTATCTTTTTTAGGTCATCAGCTATCGTTAGTGTTAGTGTTTTATGTGTAGCGCAGGACGATTATTCTTCTTCCAAAGTGGCCTAGGGAAGTCAAAAGATTGGACACCCCTGCTTAGTGCCTCTGACTGGAAGGGCCTACCAGCTTATACTTCCTGTGTCTGCCCTCCTGCCTTCTTTTCTTCTGTCCTGCCTTCTCTTATAATGTACCTGTGCTAGGGTCTGGGCTGGGCTCTGGGTCCTCTGTAAAGTCTGTTAGCACGCAACCATGGAACCAACCTTTCACGTTCTCCATGAAACTTCCCAAACCTCCCTGTGCCCCTCTGTGGTGTCTACCTTCTAAGATGGCCCCAATAAATTGTGCCTTTTGTTTTCCACACCTTTATGTCCTCCCCTCCCACACTGAATCTGGGCTGAGCCTGTAACTCACTTTAACCAGTAAACTGCAGCAAAACTGATGCTGTGCCCCTTCTGGGCCTAGTACCTTTTTTTTTTTTTTTCCTTTTTTTGACACAAGGTTTCATTCTGTTGCCCAGGCTAGAGTACAGGGTGCAATCACAGCTCACTGAAGCCTTGACCTCCCTGGCTCAAGTGATCCTCCTATGTCAGCCTCCCAAGTAGCGGGGACCACAGGCATATGCCAACGTGGCCAGCTAATTTTCTTTTCTTTTTTGTTGAGACAGGGTCTCACTATGTTGCCTAGACTGGTCTCGAACTCCTGAGCTCAAGCAATCCACCTGCCTTGGCCTTTCAAAGTGTTGGCATTACAGGCATGAGCCACTACGCCCAGCCTGAGCCTAAAATCGAAGAAGGCCTCATGTTTTCCACATTTGTGCTTTGAGGATCCCAGAACACCAGGTTTAAAAAACAAACAAAAAGAAAGGCTGGCCACGGTGGCTCACGCCTGTAATCCCAGAACTTTGGGAGGCCGAGGAGGGCAGATCACCTGAAGTCAGGAGTTCGAGACCAGCCTGACCAACATGGAGAAACCCCATCTCTACTAAAAACAGCAAATTAGCCAGGCATGGTAGCACATGCTTGTAATCCCAGCTACTTGAGAGGCTGAGGCAGGAGAATCACTCGACCCTGGGAGGCAGAGGTTGCAGTGAGCCAAGATCATGCCATTGCACTCCAGCCTGGCCAACAAGAGCAAAACTCTGTCTCAAAAATATATATATATATATATCATGATGTCCTCACAGGAAGATATTGCATGGAGAAAAGAAACCTTGAGAATACCTGAGAAGAGAGACCCAGGCATCCCATCATCTCAGTTGAGCCTCCAAAAAACCCCAGCCCTAGCCACCATCTGACTGCAATGACATGAAGCCAGCAAAAGAACTGCCCAGCTGAACCCAGTTAATCCACAAAATGTGAGAGACAACCCCTAAGTTTCGGAGGTGGTTTGCTATGCAGTGATAAATAACCGAAATGCCCCTTCCCCATTCTATGCTCTTACTGTTTCATCCCATAGCACCTTGTCCATTTGTACTGCTTATATTCCTACTCAAGTTGCATTGTCTGTCTCCCCTAAGAGATGGGAAGTTTCTAAAGGGCGGTGATTGCATCTTTATTTATTTTATCAGAAAAAGATCCGCATAGAAAACAGAAACCACTCAAGGCATTTCAAGTGAAAGGAGATTAGGTATTTACAAGAGTACTGAAAAGCATGGCACTAGCTTTTGGCTTCAAGGTCATATGACCATGATTGTAATGCCTAGGTCTAAAAACTGCTGCTACTACCACAGCGCTACTCTACATCCAAGAAAATGATGTCCAGACGGTGAAATGTGGACTTGGCCATGCAGATACATCTGCCAGAACCAGCCAGCCACAACTATGACAAGAACAATGACTTCTGTCTTCTTTCTGTCTTGTGTTCCAGATATTGCATGAATTTACCTGATTGACAGAACCTTCATTGCATCTAGAAGTCTTGCTGCTAAAACTTCTGGAAAAACTAGACACCAGTAGTCCCAGCTGCTCAGGAGACTGAGGCAGGAGGATAACTGGAATCCAGGAATTTGAGGCCATAGTGCGCTATGATCATGCCACTACACTTCGGCCTGGGCAACATAGGGAAAACCTGTCTCAAAAAAAAAAAAAAATGAATGAATGAATGAAAACTTCTGGAAACTGTAGCTTTTAGCATTCCAGCTAATTCTATACGGGGGAGAATATAGATGGAGTTAGAAATGGATGATAAGGGCCAATTAACAGCATGTGGTGCATTCCTGAATCCCTAGCTCTAACGCAAGCCCTGCTAAGGAGAAAGTCTCATAGGCCTATTGAATGAATTGATGAATGTACAAATTAATCCATTATTCATCCGGCAGTGTAGCAGGCAATCACAGTCCCCTCCTGTGCTAGACGATAGGAAGACAAACGTGAGTAAATGGTAAAGATATTTCCAAAAAGCAAAATCCAGCGGTAGAGCTGAGTTGTAAGAGAGGAATACAAGTACAAATTTTGTAAGATTCTCAGTGTGATCTGTGGAGCCCATATCTTTCACTCTCTCGTGAAAGTAAATAGGCAGATACAGAGTCCACTTCACATGTTAACCTCTTTAACATGTTTTGCAAATGTAAGTTGTTTCTCCAGGAAATGATGAGGCTGCTTTTCCTAGGTCAGCCCTGTAACTGATTCAAGAAAGAATTCCTAAAGCATCTTTCAAGAAAATAACTTGGCTGGGCATGGTGGCTCACTCCTGTTATCCCAGCACTTTGGGAGGCCAAGGCAGGCAGATCACCTGAGGTCATGTGTTGGAGACCAACCTGGCCAACATGGAGAAACCCCATCTCTACTAAAAACACAAAATTAGTCAGGTGTGGTGGCACATGCCTATAATCCCAGCTATTCGGAAGGCTGAGGCAGGAGACTCACTTGAACCCGTGAGGCAGAAGTTACAGTGAGCCGAGATTGAGCCATTGCATTCCAGCCTGGGCAACAAAAGCAAAACTCCGTCTCAAAAAAAAAAAAGAACTCAGACACAGTCTATATGCTTGAGAATAGACCATCTTGACAGGTAAACTCGATGGCTTCCCCTTGCTATTTACACATACTATTTATTTCTCACAGCTGTCACTTAAAGCACCATATAGCTCTCAATCCTCAGTGATGAGAAAAAGTGGAATACAGACCAGAAATAGGAACTCGAGAGTCCAGTGTTATTTACTTAGTTCAGCAATTAACTTGCAAAGGCTGTTACAATCTTGTTTTCAGCTGTATTATTTTTGCCATTTACAAAACACGGGCATCATGTAAATAACCACACAATACTGATAGAGTACTGAGTCCTCATCACTACAGTTATCCCTGTCTGCTCTGTACTAAATCCATGACAGGATTTGTGTGATTTTAGGGTGTGTGCCTGTTGAAAGCACATCCCCCACACAATCCATTTAGCCATTCATAAACAAAAGAGTAAGATTAAAAAAAATAGTTAATCTTACTAGGCTTTGTGGAATGTTTTTTTGTTGTTGTTGTTTCCGTTTCTGTTGTTGAGATTTTATGCTTTTTTTTTTTTTTTTTTGAGACAGAGTTTCACTCTTGTCGCCCAGGCTGGAGTGCAATGGCTCAATCTCAGCTCACTGCAACCTCCACCTGACAGGTTCAAGCGATTCTCCTGCCTCAGCCTCCCAGAATAGCTGGGATTACAGGTGCCCACCACCATGCCCTGCTGATTTTTGTATATTTAGTAGAAACAGCGTTTCACCATGTCGGCCAGGCTGGTCTCGAACTCCTGACCTCAGGTGATCCACCCACCTCAGCCTCCCAAAGTGATAGGGTAATAGGTGTGAGCCACTGCGCCCAACTGATTTTGTGTTTTTTTCAAACAGTTGTTTTATAGGGGAAAAAAAAAAAGGCTAGATAAAGCTACAGTCAAGCATTAATAGCAGTAGTGAACTCCAGGAAGTGGAACTGGGTGTTCCTTTTATTTTACTTTATGTTTTGCATTGTTTTTATTTTTCACAGTGGGAATGTGTAGACTTTAAAATTAAAAATCAACTTTTAAAATATTACCGATGATTAACTCTGAGTAGAGGGATTACAGGCGATCTTTTAAAATTATTTGAAGATTTATATTGAGAAAAATAAGCATTATTTAAAAGAACATTGACTACACTGTTGTCACTTTTTCTGCAGAAAGTGCAACAGGTGTATCAAGTTACAAGTAGATCTGGCTGTTAGAAGTCTGTGAACCTTTCTTCACCTCATTAATCACTGGCTGACCTACAGAGATTCAGCAACCAGAAATAAAGGCATGAGGTCAAACTGCACAGGGCTTGGGAAGGCTGTCTGACTTCAGATCCTTTAGGCCCTCAAACCTCACGGTTCAAGGTCAGACTGACTGGCAAGGGAGTGAAAGTCTTCCTGGGGCATGGAGTGTGGACACCATCGGAACCGGCTGAGGAATACCAGGTACTACAGAGCAAGGGGCCGTTGTTAAGGGATTTTTTATATGGTGTGATGCCTTATTGTGGTTTTCTGTTTGCTTTCACTCCATGCACGTGTGTGAGCTTCCTACTATTTACCAAGCACCATGCTCATGCTTGGTAGCGGATAGAAAGAGGCAAAATATAGGATCCCAGCTCCCAAGAAGTCTCTCAACAAAAGTAAAGATTAGACAGGTAGAAAAGATAAATTATAACACAGTGGGACAAGTGATACAACACAGGCTTATTCCTCTCAAGGAATGCAGAGAGCAAAGAAAAATCAAACCTGAAGGGTTCAGTGAGTCTTAGCAGAGTTTGTCTTGCAGTAGGCAGCCTGGGGGAAGGTGACTGGAAGAGGAAGTTCTAGGCCCATTGAATACCTGGGGCGGAGATGCAGAGGCAAGAAAGAGCACAAAGAAGGCACCCACGTATAATCCCTGTGTTTCTTTTGAATTGCTGCAGTCAAAGTACCGCAAATGCAGTGAATCAAAATGACAGAGAGATTTGACCACAGACTGTGGCTATGTGGTAAGGATGGGAACAAGAGGCTGCAGTGATGGATGAGAGGGAAGACCATGAGCCAGGGCGTGCAGGCAGCCTTTAGAGTCGGAAAGGGTGGCCAGGCATGGTGGCTCACGCCTGTAATCCCATCACTTTGGGAGGCTGAGGCGGGTGGATCACCTGAGGTCAGGAGTTCGAGACCAGCCTGGCCAATATGGTGAAATCCTATCTCTACTAACAATACCAAAAAAAATTAGCTGGGTGTGGTGGTGGGCACTTGTAATCCTAGCTTCTTGGGAGGCTGAGGCAGGAGAATCACTTGAACCCAGGAGTCAGAGGTTGCAGTGATCCAAGATTGAAACTCTGTCCAAAAAAAAAAAAAACGATTGGAAAGGGCAAGGAAATTGATTCTCCCCAGAAACTTCCAGAAGGAACCAGTCCTGCCAACACCTTGATTTTAGACTCCTGGCCTCCAGAACTGTAAGAGAATAAATTTGTGTCATTTTAAGCCATGAAGGTATTGAAATAGTTGTGATTTGAGGTGGTTTGTTAAATAACAATAGGTAATAGGAACAGAGTTTGGTGTCTGGATATGAAGTGCTGTTTAAACACCTAAAACATAAATACCATGTTTAATTAGCCAATGCTAAAACATGTGGCTTGAGGACTGAGTGGTAGGAAGAAGCCAAATAGGCATTAGGTAAGCTGATAGTGAATATTTGAATAAAGTGAAGAAAATATTATTTGAAGTTGGAGAAAATAAAATATGTGTTATATATTGGCAGGAAATTTGGCAACACTGTCATCTGAGATGATATGGAAAACAGGAAATGAACTTAATAAACTTAACTGGTCTAGCTAAAGAGATTTCTGGGCAGGGTATTAAGGGTGCTACCAGCCTGTTATAGCTGCCTACATAAAACTTGATGAAGATGAAAGAAAAAATATGATGTTCAGCTTTCAAGTGAAAATAAGAGGATACCTACAGGGCTTTTAGCTGAATTAATCTAGTAGGAGATTCTCAAGGCAATAAAAGACCTCTAGGGAAGATCAAATCCAGGACACAGTCAAAGAAATGTGTTCTCAGAATAAAAACGAAGCCAAGCATGTGACTTTAAAGCTTGTTGGGATCTAAGAAAGGTATAAGGTGGTCCTTTGTAGACTCTTTCAAGTAGACAAAAGGCTTCCTAAGGATTCTAGGAGTTTGCCTTTCAAACAATCCCTGTCTAATAGTGGGGCTTCTGAAAATCTCAAGGGCATTGCTTCGCTACAGCTTCATGGGGAGCTCAAGGTAGATAGAGAAGGGCTTATCACAAAGAGATCTGTGGGTGTAGCCTTATCTAATGTAATGGACTTTATAAACTGATACGTAAGAAATCCCCAAAGATATTAAAGGAATTATATCAGCTTAGTTCGAGAGGAACAGATAGTACAAAATAAAATGAGGCTCTCCAGACTTCTAGTCAGACAGCAGGCTGAAACTCTGCACAGGCTACTTTTTATGGAAAAGAAAGGATAACTCAGAAAATGTGAACAAAGACCTAAAAAACAGAGGAAAAAGTTCCAGAGAGTAATTTGCAACCAGCAGGACTGGGTCCTAATCAATACAATGGGCAACATATGCTCAGATGGGTTTCAGAATTAACATAAACCAATGACTGTTAATGTTTCCATTTTCCACGCTTTAGAACAAGAGTCTCTATACACATTATATTATATCTATACCACTGTGTGTTGGGTTTGTTAGGGAGAAGAGCGTCAGAAAACTTGTCTCTTTATTTCATACACTTTCAGATCAAGAGGAACCGTATTTGAGCAACTTAACTGAAGGAGCCTAATCGGCACCTGGACCTATTTTATATTAGGAAACCTGGATCTTGAGCATAAGTCCAGTGCTTTGATGAGATGAAACTTTGCAGGGAAAATAGCTTGGATGTGGAAGAATGTAAATAATTTGTGCACGTGGGGCAAACTGGAAGTTTGAAACATGGTTGCAAATTTTTTTTATATTCCTCCCATGGAGTGTGGATTTATGTCTCCCCCCCTCAAACCTGGGAGGGCTTGTATCGACTTCCATCAGGTGAAAATGGTGGTGGAAGTCACACCACGTGATTTCTGAAGTGAGGTCAGAGTAGTACATACAGCTTCCATCCTGCTTACAGGGAACACTGACTCTCCGAGCTCTGAACCACTCATGTTAGAAGTCACTTCATGCAGAAGGTAAAAATAAAAAGTCACAACTGTGTGGAAGCCCAAGCCAGATGAAGAGGAACTCTGGTTAACAACCCAAAGTAAGCTCAGATTTCAAATTTGTTTTAGCCAGGCATCAGTAAAGAAACTTGTAGGTGATTTCAGCCCCAGACATTCAGTTCTTCCTGAGGCTCCAGACTGCAGCCTGGAGACAAGTCATTCTTACCATCCCGTCTGAATTCTTGTCGCACAGAATCCATGAACATAATGAGCTGGTTGCTGTCTGACACTAAGTTTGAAGTTGCTTGTTGTTTGACAGCAATAACAGGAACACTGCTATATGAGTTTCCTGTGGCTGCTGTAACAAATTATCACAAACTTGGGGGTTTAAAACAACACACGTTTTTTGTCTTACAGTTCTGGAGGCCAGAAGTCCAAAATTGTTATCACTGGGACAAAATAAGGTGTTAGCGGGGCCACACGCCCCTGGAGGCTATTGGGGAATATCCCTTCCTTGCTTCTTCCAGCTTCTAGTGGTTGCTGACACTGATTTGTGTCAAAGTCAACATCTACAAATTTCTCTGTTCCTTCTTCACATTGCTTTTTCACATTGTGTGTGTGCGTGTGTGTGTGCATGTATGTCTGTGTGTATGTGCGTGTAAGATAAGATGGGGTGTGAAAAATCTCTTCTGTTTCTCTCTTATTATGACATTTGCAATGGCATTTAGGGCCATAAGAACAGTCCAGGATAACCTCTCCATCTCCAAATTTTTTTTTTTTTTTTAGACTGAGTCTTGCTCTGTCACCCCAGGCTGGAGTGCAGTGGCACAGTCTCAGCTCACTGCAACCTCTGCCTCCAAGGCTCAAGCGATCCTTTCACCTCAGTCCTAAATAGCTGGGTTTACATGCACCCACCACGATGCCAGGCTAATTTTCGTGTTTTTTATAGAGATGGAGTTTCATCATGTTGCCCAGGCTGGTCTCAAACTCCTGAGCTCAAGCAATCCGCCCTCCTCAGCCTCCCAAAATGTTGAGATTACAGGTGTGAGCCACTGCAGCTGGCCTCAAAATCCTTAATTTAATCATGCCTAAAAAGACTCTTTTGGGTTGGATTTTGATTTTTTTTGTTTGCTTGCTTGTTTATCTTGTTTCTCATACAGAGTAATATTCATAGGCTCTAGGAATTAGGACATGGATATCTTTTGGGGTGTCCCTTTACAGCCTGCTACCACTGCATAGTTGCAATATATATGTATGTGGGTGTGTATATATACATATATATATTATATATATATATATATATATATATATTATATATATATGGGGTTTCTCCATGTTGGTCGGGCTGGTCTCGACCTCCCGACCTCAGGTGATCAGCCCACCTCGGCCTCCCAATGTGCTGCCAAAGTGGGATTACAAGCATAAGCCACCACACCCGGCCAGTGGCAAAATATTACACTGTATATATTCTTTTGTATCTTGCCTTTTAAAATGTATGAGCCAAAATAAGCATTCCCATGCCATTGCATACTCTGAAAACAGCAATATTAATGGTTATGTAATATTCAATTGAATGAATGTAACTCAAGTTATCTAAAACCTTAATTTTTCTTTTCTTCTTTTAACTTTTATTTTAGGTTCAGGGGATACCTGTTCGGGTTTGTTGCATGGGTAAATTACATGTTGGTGGGGATTGATGTACAAATGATTGCACCACCTGGCAGCAGTAAGCATAGTATGCAATGGGTAGGTTTTGTTTTGTTTTGGAGTCAGGGTCTCGCTCTGTCACCCAGGCTAAAGTAATGATCTTGGCTCACTCCTCTGTCTCCCAGGTTCAAGCGATTCTCCTGCTTGAATTCAGCCTCCTGGGTATCTGGGATTACAGGTATGCGCCACCACACCTGGCTAATTTTAGTATTTTTAGTAGAGAAGGGGTTTCACCATGTTGGCCAGGCTGGTCTCAAACTCCTGACCTCAAGTGATCCACCTGACTCGGCCTCCCAAAGTGCTGGGATTACAGGTGTGAGCCACCGTGCCCAGCTCCAATGGGTAGTTGTTTGATCCTCACCCTTCTCCCACACTCCACTCACAGGTAAGCCCTGATGTGTATTGTTCCACTCTTTATACCCATAGGTACTCAATGTTTAGCTTCCACTTATAAACAAAAACTTGCAGTATTTGGTTTTCTTTTCCTGGCCTCTGGCTGCATCTGTGTTGTTGCAAAAGACATGATTTTGTTGTTTTTTATGGCTATGTAGTATTGCATGGTGTATATGTACCACATTTCCTTTATGCAGTCCACCACTGATGGGCATCTAGGTTGATTCCATATTTTTGCCATTGTGAATAGTGCTGCAGTAAACATACATGTGTTATATGTCTTTACGGGAGAATGATTTATATTCTTTTAGGTATATACCCAGTATTGGGATTGCTGGGTCAGGTGGTAGTTTAAGTTCTTTGAAAATCTCCAAACTGCTTTTCCACAATGACTGATCTAAACATTCCCATCAGCAGTGTGTAAACATTCCCTTTTCTCCACAACCCTGCTACCTGTTACTTTTTTGGCTTTCTAATAATAGCCATTCTGATTAGTGTGAGATGATATCTCACTATGATCCAAAACCTTAATTTTGGACACTTATTTCCAACTCTCTATTTTTTTATTTCCTGAGACTAGATTCTAGATATGGAACTTATGAGTGTGAGCAGCTTACCACTTGTGACTATATTGCCAGATTGCCACTTAGAAATGCTTATTAATGTATTATTTTATTATTCCTGTGGGTGCATGTCTCATCATCATATCCTCACCAGCATTGAAGTACTGGATTTTTCAGTTTTGGTTATTTGCAAATATTTCTTTAGAAGTCTATGTTTTCTTCTCATTTTGTATTGGATTCTTTATAGGTTAGCAATTTTTCTGACATTTTTGTAGCAAATACTTTTTCATCATTTTGTTATTTGCTTTTAAATTTTGGATATGATATCCTTAATTGCTACATACTTACAAAGTCTGCACTTGTTTTTTAGATGGAGTTTTGCTCTATCGCCCAGGCTGGAGTGCAGTCGCATGATCTCAGCTCACTGCAACCTCTGCCTCTGGAGTTAAAGTGATTCTCCTGCCTCAGCCTTCCAAAGTGTTGGGATTATAAGGCATGAGCCACTGCGCCTGGCCCAAAGTGCACTATTCAGAAAGCAGACTCAGTACTGCTTGAAACAGCACAGGGTTTGATGTCAGAAAGCCCTAGATAAGAATCTCTCATAGAAATGAATGCTGGTTGTTTTAAAGCTTAAATAAAATAATTTAAGTTTAAAAATCAAGCATGAAGGCTAGGCTATGCAAGTACTTAATCCATTTCTTTTGGTTCTATTTGCTAGAAAAGAAAACAAATCATCAAAGAGAAAATCCAAATGCCCAATAAACATGAATATGCTCAACCTGTTTAATAATTTTAGAATGAAACATTCAAAATAGTTACTATTTTCGATCCATCAGATTGGCAAAAAAAAAATTTATTGTATTTTAGGTTTTGGGGCACATGCGAAGAACATGCAAGATTGTTGCATAGGTACACACGTGGCAGTGTAATTTGCTGCCTTCTTCCCCTTCACCTATATCTGGCATTTCTCCCCGTGCTATCACTCCCCAACTCCCCACCCCCCGCTGAAGATTGGCAAAAATTTAAGAGATAATGTCTAGTGCAAAGGAGGATATGAAAAAAGGGAAACTCACTCAAGGGGACTGTGGACTGTGTGACTTGCTAAAGTTTTTTGGAAAGCAATGGATATCTTTATTAGAATTTTAAAATGTACATATTTTTGACCTGTCATTTCCAATTTAAGAAATCTATCCTTTAAAAATGCAAAACTACAAAAGGGTATTTGTGAAAAGAAGTTTATTTTTGTATGGTTTATAATAGCAAAACACTGACATGTTCAGCTGTCAGGAAATTGTTAAATAAATTGATTTTAAATTTCTTTCCACTAGAATTAATCTCCCCAAGAACAGGGATTTTTAACGGTGACGATGACTGCTGCTTTCCCAGCACTTAGAACATAGTAAACATTCAAAAGAAATGATTAAATGATCGAATAAATAAATAACATTCTATTATATCTTAATTTACATGATGCAATAGACATTTTAAAAATTGGTGTGATTTATGTGTAATGATCTGGGGAAATGCCCGTGATATATTATTAAATGATAAAAGCAAGTCACAGAGTAAAGTGTTACGTCATTTTTGGTTTTTTTAAGGGCAAAAAACGAAGAACAAGAGTATAAATGTAATACATATTTGCGTAAGTACAGAAAAGTTCTCGAAATGACATCCAATGTAGTGTTAAAATTGTTAACAGAGGGATGGAATTGAAAGGATGGAGAAGTTATTTTTCTTTACACATCTCCGCATTGTTTAACCTTCTTGGAAGGAATTGTTTGTGCAAGCCCTTAGCTCAAACCAAACTAGACTTTGCTATGAGAAAGACAGTAGGCTTGAATCCGCGCACACATTAGGAAACAGTGACCTTGATACTGTTATTCTTTGTACAGCATTGGTTTGTTGCCTTTTTTTAAGTATCTGTTGAACACTGGTAAATTTTGCTCCCCGCCTCTCGGTAGTCGCTCGGCCTGTTCTTTCCTGCAGTTATTTCTCCCCGGGAGCCTGCCGCCTCGCCCCCGCCCTTATCTCCGGACGGCTTTGGAGCCAGCGCGGCGTCCGCGGGGCAGCTACTGTGTGCACGCTCGACCTTTGCCACCCTCCGCGCTGATGGGAACTGGAGGAGGATGTGGTTTCGACACAATGTGGCCCACATTTTGTTTCCTTGAATATACCTTGTTTCCCAAAGTACAAGTCCCAACTCCAGTTTTGAAAGAATTCCCCGAGAAAGGGGGCTTGCGTGGAGGAGGGGGAGGTGCGAGGGGAAGATGAGGTGTTGGAGAAGCCCGGAGCACGGGCCTCTATTAATATTAACTTTCATTAAGACTTGGCCTTTCTGTCCCCGGGGCTTCAAAAGCAGGAAGTCAAGGGCAGT